ACTTGTAAAAGAAGACAAATCCAAAACCACCCCTTCATATGAAAAATAAAACTTTATTCCTACCATTTTGAAACAGTCCTGTCATCTTTGTCACACACAAAAAACGATAGTTTTTTATTTACGGTTGCCCAGAATCTGTTGTTCCTTCTTTATTTATGTAAAGAGGTGGTAACAAAGTGCACCAAATGTACAGTAAGAATGGAGTTGAAGAGATATGACCAGTAGATGGCAGCATTCTCCTCGTCTGTAATATGTGCCATGAACTGGACGATGGCGCCTTCTGCATGTAAATTGATAAAAATGGTAATTGTTGGAATGCTGTTAAGCATTCCAACTATTGTTATCCTGTTTCTCTTTATTCAACCTTTTATATTTCTTCCATACGTATTTTGCTACTTAACTCCTTCCACATTTTTTAAGCTACAGAAACCGTTCAACTATCAAAATGTTCAGCTCTTTCAGCTCATGTCTGCTATGACTTTTCATATTTCTAACCTTTAATCTTTTTGAATTATTAAGCTTTGTACAACTTTTTTTTGAATGGGATGTCTATGGAGAACGTTTTCAAATCCTCTTAAACTTGTTCAACTTTCAAATCCTTCTACTTCCTCATACTTTCAGCTACAGACACCATTTTAACTTTCAAATGTTGAGAAAATCCTGATATATTGCCGCATAATTCAGCTTTTTGATATCTTTTACACTTTTTGAACTACAGCAATTTAACTTTTATGATTTTTTTCACTCCTTTTCTGCTTTTATAATGGGTGTGTATTGCGCAGCTTAGAGTGCGTGATGTCACCGCTAGAGTGAAGAGCAGCTTGAGATTTGTGTGAAAAAAAGATTTGTCTTTTGCCACTGTGTCCACAATCTTCACTCTTCATGTATAATTTGTGGATGTAGAAGTAGCTAATATTGTCCTTGTCGTAGACAAATGACTGTGGAATCCCACAGATTTACACATTTGGCACAGAAGCCTGTTATTGAGAGGAAAACCAACTTTCTGCTCCATAGAGACCAATGTTAAATTTTGCCTCAAAAACATCTTCCACAGAACACGGTACCCCATTTCTAGATCGCCAGTTCAGCCACATTTTTTACACTACAGACACAATTTTTACAGGATCTGTTTCTCAAGTCATCCTTCCTCTCATTTATTAATATCGGAGCAATAGGAGCTACGGTTATGGGAGTTTTGATGATTTGTTTGAGAGGTGTTTGCCTGTTTTATCTCCATGAAAAGGCTGCAAGGACACAGGTGTTTCTGATTAAGCTAATTAGTGATGTTGATAAACACAGACACACATGCACTCCTCTCTCTCTCTCTCTCTCTCTCTCTCTCTCTCTCTCTCTCTCATACTGTCATTCAGGTCTTAGAGACTTTTAGAGGACCCCCCATTTTAAAATAAAAGCGCACACACATGATTTAGAGATATACGTGATGCAGCTCAGCCAATCAAATATGGGTATTCTGATAAGTTTCCTGATTCGAGTGACATTTACACACACCGCGACACAAGAGGGAGAGACGAGGAAAGACATGGCAGAGCAGGACAACAGTCATGTAAGCTGTAAATGATAAAACATAGGACAATCTCCAAATGAGAAAAATTGCCAGAGAGATCAGAGTGTCTCTCACTCACTCACTCACTCATCCTCTCTCTCTCTCTCTCTCTCTCTCTCTCTCTCTCTCTCTCTGTGTCTCTCATACAGTCATTCAGGTCTTAGAGATTTTAAAAGGACCCCCCCCCCCCCACACACACACACACCCCATTTTAAAGTAAAGGCCCCACAAAATGAATTCTAACTGAAATGCTTGTGATGAAGCCTGTCATTTAATAACCTGTTTATGTTTATCTAACATTATGATTATGTCTCCTCTCCCCCCCCCCCCACCCACACCCCATTTCAAAATAAAAGCCCCAAAGAGTGAATTCTAACTGAAATGCTTGTGATGAAGCCTGTCATTTAATAAACTCTGTTTATGTGTGTCAAACATTAAGATTATGTCTCCTCTCCCCCTCTCTCCCCCACCCAGTTCCACCCTTTCAAAATAAAAGCCTCATGGATTAACTGTATTTAAACGTTAAGCTCAAAATTAGGCTTTTTTGTTGAAATAATGAATGCTCTTACGAATACTGCGACAACTACTACTACTGCTACTAATATTTCTAGTATCACTAGTACTACTACTACTACTGCTACTACTTCTACTGCAACTTTTGCTGTTGCTACTATTATTACTACTACTACTACTACTGCTATTACTGATACCATCAATATTATTAGTACCACAACTGATATTACTACCACTACCACTACTGATATTACATATACCACAACTGCTACTACTGCTATTCCTGCTACTACCAGTACTAATACTACTACAGCTATTAGTACGACTGCTACTAGTACTACTACTACTGCTACTACCTCTTCTACTACTACTACTGTTATATTAAATACTACGACCACTACTACAGCTATTACTACGACTACTGATACTACTACTTCTACTACTTCTAATTACTAATACTTCGACTACAACTTCTACTACTGCTACTACAAATATCACTACTGCTACAACTGGTACTTATTCAAATGCTACTAATACTTCTACTGCTAATAATACTTCTACTACAACTACAACTTCTACTACTACTACTACAACAAATATCACTACCGCTGAAATTTTCTTAAGCTACAGAAACCGTTCGAATATCAAAATGTTCAGCTCTTTCAGGAGAGGGTGATATGACTTTTCATATTTGTAATCTTTCAACTTTTTGAATTATTAAGCTTTTTGCAATTTTCTTTTGAATGGGATCTCTATGGAGAATATCTTCAAATCCTGTTAAACTTCTTCAACTTTCAAAGCCTTCTTCCTCATACTTTCAGCTACAGACACCATAGTGAGACATTTCAACTACAAGGGTTTTCAGCAGTGCAGTTTAAATGCTTTCAAGCTTCAACATTTTCCAGATGGGTAGTCTCCCATTTCTTAATTTTCAGCAATTTTTTGACAATTAATTTCAGCTTTCAGCATTCCAATGCATTTTCAGCAGGAAATGCATTTTCTAGTTTTATTCATAGATTATTTGCAATATGTCGTGCTACTCCAGAATGTTTTTTAGAGAAAACATTAATTTGGATAGTAAAGTTTTACATTTTACAAAAATGGCAAATAACAGCTTATTGTAGCGTGTGATGACTTTCATTTTCATTCAAACAGGCCTCTGTCACAGCAGACATTTTGACTTATATGACAAACCAGGAAAACCACAGGTGGGATTGATAATAATATTTAATTTTGTCTGTGTTCCTTTTTAGTTTTGCCACATCCAGGGTCCTGTTACTGTGTCCATGCTAGCTGTCATGTCTTTCTGGTTTATTTCAATTTAATAGGGTCATTGTTAATCAGCGACATTAGCAACACTTGTGCTTTTCATCATTTATGAACTAAGAATAATGGGGCAGAGTGTAGGCATGTACCATCAACGGGTTTTGTAACAATTAGAGCAGTGGTGTAACAAGTGAGCAGCCTTTTGCTGCTGTATGCTGGACGAAGCCTGATAATGTGACATGGCTAAATAATGCTTTTTTTTTTTTTTAAATCATGTTTTTATGAAGAAAAACGATTAGATTAGATTAGTAAATCCTGCATGCACATTTTGACTTTGAGTGAAACAAAGTCATTTTCAACACAATGTACTGTGTACGGTGGAGCTTTCGATTCTAACATGATGCTGGATAGTGTGAATAATGATGCATTGATGGGGAGATGGGGAGGTGGAGGGGCGCGTAACAGCAGCATGAACGTCCTGAAGGTAAAGAAACAATATTTAAAAAGAGACAGCAGCTAGATGATAGTCTAATGATGAAACTGTTTTGTTGTCGTGGTGGAAAAAATTCCTATACCCGCTTTGCGTGAGTCTTTTAATGCTGAAATAATCATTATATTTATTCTCTGTGCAGAGAAGGTTCAATCATCACAACAGTACAGTCTCAGTGAGGAAGAACCAAGACAAAAGTGAACGCACTTTCTTTATACAGAATGAGCAAAGGTGGGGGCCGATGGCCAATGTTACAGACATTTCAGTCTCAGACTGATAGAAACAACAATGAAAAACAAACAGCAAGCAACCAAAAGGCCCGTAGGCTTTGGCATGGAACATTCTCATACAACACAATTATCTTTGTGAACAGGGAAGGGAGAACTCTTCTTTTGCACAACAGAGACACGTACAATATACTGAGTAGAAATATATACTACGTAAAAAATGACCATTACATTGTGCTATTGGATAGAAGAGACCAGCTGATCTAAACAGCTGATATCATGATTGACAGCCTCGAGCAATGAAATGATGAGTGAGCATTCCTGAGGAGTGAACTGCAGATGTATGAGAAAAAAAACGACGGTTTTAGGCATGCAAGAGCATCGTCTTCCTGACTGAACTTAGGCTAGAGCTTCATTTCTCTGTTAGTGTGGAGTGGTTCTCCAGAGACACCACAGGACAAGCATTTGGCCCGTTCTGAACAGGAGTGTTTTTCAACGGGTGCTTTGGGTGTTTCCCAAACCCACTGCGGGTTTCATTGTTACCAGAAGTGATGAAACACAACATTTTCAGGATTCCAGAGGCACCCCAGGTATTTCAAGCACTTGAGTCTCCAGCTCACACGTCCTGTTTTACCTGATGAGTTGGGGGCAGAGAAACTATGGGGGATTGTATTGGGAGGATTCTTCTTCAATGCTCCCAGACCTATTATCTGGCCGCTAGACCTGTTCTGTACAGGTTTCACTCAGCTAGTGGAGGGATATATAGGTTGTTGTGTTAGCGTTGTTGTCAGAGGGTGTTTCTTTTGTGATCTTTGTTCACACCAATGTGGTTGTACCACAGCTCGTCAGATGACTTTAGGCTAGAAAGGAGAAAGAACCTTGACTCACTGTATCTGGATTTCATCTTGTTCGAGAGGCAATCTTTTGTTAATTTTCTTTTTCTTGTGAAATGCTCGGATAAGGAGGCAATCGGATTACTAGCGTGGACAACCAGCTTTGCTTATCAAATCAGACAAGTGTTCAATGAATGTGGGAGCCTTCACTCGAAACAGGTAAGCAAAGAAAGCTGTTGACTCTTCATTTATTTCAGCACCCTAAGAGAAGATGATCTCATCTTGCCAAATGACTTAGTTTGACTAAACTGTAGGCCGACACATCGGTAATAATTTTAATTAGGATTTGGGGTTCGATAAAACCACAAGGTCCATTTGGCAGCTGATCTGGCTCAGTTTGTAATTGAATTGTAGATACACAAGTCTCTAGAGAAATTTCAACATTTACAAATGTACATTCCAACTGGGAAAAATTAATCTGATGACTATGTCTTACTCTCTGTCCATGCATACACTAACTCATGGCACATTTATTGTATTGTGATACTCAAAAACATCTCTTTTTACACAGATTCAAGATTTGTCCAAACTAACATACTATTATATTTGCAGTTGAATGGCACGCTTCTACTGTCGCTGGTGCACAGTGTTGGTGTGCGTGTGCACGCCATGCATCTCCTTGGTCCTGCTGTTCGCCTATGCTACTGTCATGTTGTGTTTGGCCATGAGTGATAGCACTGCAGCACCAGAACTTATTCACTTTGTGGCCCCTGGAACTTTTAGCAACCAGAGCTTTGGCCCACTCCCTAAAACTTTCTGGGACCTCCGCCAGCACGGAGACCCCATTTGGAACCGTCTCCAGATGACCATCGACCGCCATTTCAACCTCATTCTGCACCCCAACAACATCGAGAGGGGATCTGACAACGATACCTCATATGAGTCCCTACGGACGCAAGGTTTCTCTGAAGTTACCAACTTGGACAGCATGAGGAAAACTTTTGATCAGCTACCACAGCAGTTACAAGAGTATGTGAGCCACATGCAAAGGAGAGACTACCCAACCCTCATCCAGCCAGATGGAGTATGTGGAGCTGGGGCGAAGGATGAGAGGGACGCCCCTCTCCTTCTCCTGGCCATCAAGTCAACAGAGCGGAATTTTAAGAACCGGCAGGCCATTCGACAGACCTGGGGCCAGGCGGGATGGGTAGCAGGACAGTGGAGGAAAGGTAAAGGAGGAGGACGAGGAGAAGGTGGAGGATACGTCCGCAGGGTGTTCCTGCTCGGGAATGGAAGAGAGGAAAATTTGGGTGTTAGGTCATCTGAGTTACTGCAGATGGAGAGCGAACGTTATGGAGACATTCTGCAGTGGGACTTCAGGGACACGTTTTTCAATCTCACCTTGAAAGACGTGCTCTTCTGGAGCTGGTTCTGCCACTCTTGCAACCGGACTCTCTTCGTCTTTAAGGGGGACGACGACGTCTTCGTCAACACCCCGAGGATGATGACGTACCTCCAGGACCAGCTAGAGAAGCCACAAGCACACAAGACCATTGAAGACTTCATGATTGGGGATGTCATAGTTGCAGCCTTACCCAACCGAGTCAACGAGTCCAAGTACTTTATCCCAGACAGCTTCTACAAGGGCCTCTATCCTCTGTATGCAGGCGGTGGAGGGGTGGTGTACTCAGGCCTGTTGACCAAACGCCTACACAACATGTCTAAAAGGGTTCACCTGTTCCCAATCGACGACGTTTATGTGGGGATGTGTATGGTTCGGCTTAACGCTCGGCTGGACCACCACCCTGCCTTCCTCACGTTTGACTTTCCTAACAGGGAAGAGGAGGAGGAGCTGTGTTCGTATCACACAATTCTATTGGTACACAAACGAAGCCCCACCCAGGTAGTTCAACTGTGGGACGACATGAAAATGACACAGTCACTGTGTTGGGATGCGCCCCTGAGAGAGGCAAACCTGAAGGAAAACACAACAAAAGTGTAGGACCAGCCAAAGTTTCTCAAACAAACAATTTTGCCACTACAGTAGTGAGCTGCTGTAATAATATACACTAATTATTAAGGCATCTGAGGCATCCATGTTCTGGGGTTATATTTAATTATACTTAACAATGTGGTCCATTGATATGACAATAGATTGATCAATAGTTGATCATAATTTCTAAACCAGTATTTTTACTATTTACTACAATTACTATTTTTTTTTGTACTTTTATAAATGAATAATTTATCTGAAAGGCCATTGATTGCCATGCCTTAGATCATATAACAAAATAACCTTTAACGACTTGGGACTGTAAATCATCACTGTGACCATAATGTCTATTTACATTTTGACCGATATATCACTGCTTTTGAAAACTTCATATCAATCTACACATACCACACAATGATAACTTCGCTACGACATGCAGACATGAAGTTGGCTACAATGTATTCCCTAACCCCTCAAGTCTGCAAGTTTACTGTTCTATTGGACTGAAATGAATGGAAATAAATGGGAGAATAATGTGTACAGTGCTGGAGAGCGGCACAAATGTAGAAGAGACAACGTTTGTGAACTGACTCAGTAATGTTTAGCTAAAGTGTGCTGACATTAGCCACCGTGAGCTAGTGGTCATATAACAGGTAAGGCTGTAGCAGCAAAAACCCTGAGTGTATTAAATTAAACATTAGTGTTTTATTGCTTATGAATTCCATTTTTTCTTTGTAAGAGGAACAATGAGTTATTTATTCCTTCAAAAAGACGTACAGCTTTATCTCTTTAAAGGCCAGTAGAATCTGAAATGACCTGTTTACGTACATAAAGTATACGATGAAAGCAGCTGTGTTAATGCAGCCAATGTTAAAGATGAGTTTGAGTTTACAGCCGTTGAAAAAGTTTTGCAGTGCTGAAAACTGGAGAGGTCTCCTGTCAGTCTGGTTCCACTCCAGTTATGCTATAGAGAACCGACTAGCTATTATGACAAATGAGTCAGATATATTCTTGTACTTCACACACAAAGACCCAACGGACTTATTTATAATCTGCTTTGCTAAAGAAACTAGTACAGAACAACTCTTTCAGCCAAATAAAACATTTTTCAAATAATTGTTTAATCACCAACCATTATTATGATGCAAGCACAATAATCCATTTTGTCATGTCTTATTTGCTAGATTAAAATAAATGTATTGATGCAGGTAATATCGGCCATGTATTTACGGGGGTGGTGGAAGAACCCTGACGTCAATGCCTTCCAAAACAAAACACGACGATAATCCCTGCAGAACGGGTTCCACTGGCGGTACAGATATACAGTGGGTACGGAAAGTATTCAGACCCCTTTAAATTTTTCACTCTTTGTTTCATTGCAGCCATTTGCTAAAATCAAAAAAGTTCATTTTATTTCTCATTAATGTACACTCAGCACCCCATCTTGACAGAAAAAAACAAATGTAGAAATTTTTGCAAATTTATTAAAAAAGAAAAACTGAAATATCACATGGTCATAAGTATTCAGACCCTTTGCTGTGACCATGTGATATTTCAGTTTTTCTTTTTTCATAAATTTGCAGAAATTTCTACATTTGTTTTTTTCTGTCAAGATGGGGTGCTGAGTGTACATTAATGAGAAATAAAATGAACTTTTTTGATTTTAGCAAATGGCTGCAATGAAACAGAAAAATTTAAAGGGGTCTGAATACTTTCCATACCCACTGTACTACTCGCTCTATGCCATATAGTATATTATGTCATCTTTTGTGAATGTATACGTGGCAGATCTGGGAACAACGTGTTTACCGTCATCACCTTCCGCGCAACAGTTTCTGGAAGAAATGGTTCTTTGAATGTGAAATAAAAAGCAAGCTATTCTTTAGAAGATGTGGAATTCTTGAAGTGGAAGACGTCGAGGATGATGTCGAAGTCCAAGTGATGGAAAAAAAAAAAAAACATCTTAAGAATGAATCTATTTCCAAAACTTTTATCATTACACAAACCAAAATCAGTCAGGAATGTCAGAAAAAGATGAGGCACAAATCAGTCACAATGACCAACTATTAGAACAACGTGATACAATTGGAACCAGAGCATTTTGATCTTTAAAATCACCGAGGCTATCGGCTGCATTCATTTGAAAATCAAATAATCTGTAGGAACGGTAACAGTCCAGCTTGTTAAAGCAATATTCTCTAGAGGACCAGTAACACTGGAGAGATGTTTAAATGCTCACGCTAAACTAAGAACTCAAATTAAACATGATCAAAGTGTGGTCTGTCAACGGTGACAAGGTTTTGAGTCATGCAATTTTCAATGTTGTCCTATGGAGGATGATGAATGGATTTAACAATTCACATTAACATCCTGCAAATGTACAGCATGACCTGGGTATACTGGACACCCTGTAGTGTACTAGCAATACAGCAATCACTGGACTGAAGTTCAGACTATAAACATGCTTGAGTTTGACACATTTTTAGTAAGACAGTGAAACTACAGAATGAGTTCAAACTGACAGTTAAGTTAACGTTTGACATCACTGATTATTTTTAAATCAATTTAACAAGCAAGACATTCTGTTCCATTACATTAAAGTCCATTCAATGAGCCCAGCCACGTGACGGCTACATCAGGCAGTCCAGACGGAGCTGTGGCACGAGGGCCATCTCTTCAAATCATCGGTCAGTGATGGCAGCAGCACAGCAGAGCACACCGCCTCGTGATTTTCACAACTCTCACTCTCGATCGTCCGTGTCCTCGGTGCTGCCACTATGAACCCTTTTCTGTCCTTTCCTCTTTGTCTTCCTCTTCCTCGCTGTCCTCCTCCTCACTCTCACTGTACTGGTAGTTACAGCGGTTGGTGTTTACAAAGAGGTCACTCTCATCATCCTCGGAGCCACTGAAGGCCTCGTCTTGCTCCTCCGTCTCCTCTTGCTTCTTCTGCTCTTTGTTTGGCTTGTCCGGCTCCTTCGTAAACCCCTCTGGCCTGGAGGAAGACGAGGAGAAAAACAAAACGCTCAGGTACACTTGACCAAGTGATGCTAGGTGTGTGTGTGTGTGTGTGTGTGTGTGTGTGTGTGTGTGTGTGTGTGTGTGTGTGCCCACTCACCAGAGCTGCTGTTTTTGCAGGTACTGAATGTGATCTTTGTAGAGAATGAAGCTGATCTCTGCCTTCACCTTCTCTCCTTCCTCAATGGGATCCACAATCACATAGTGACCTAGACATGTTTGAAACGAGAACCAAAGAATAAAGGGAGATGAAGAGAAATAACGATTTGTCTTTCAGCCAGTACTTACTAATACGTCCTCACACCAGTGACTGATATGGGCGCATTCTATCGATATCATATCAATATCTAGTCTCTTTGAAAAAGCACCAAATACCAATATCATTTATTTTTTAAAGCTGCAGAGCGGCTTAACATCGAGTCAAATGTCCCACATGTAAACCCTTGTGGTAGAAAATGCAAGCACTATTATTTTGGGAAAATATATTGTGGGAGATGAGATAATATGCAAAAAAAATAATAATAATCGGACAGATAATATATTCAGTGTGTATTTAGAGCCGATATGAAATTACAGAGAATATGTTAGCGTCCCACATCTGCAAGAAATCAAGTGTGCAAAACTACAGTCTGATATTCACAAAGTTTAAGATCAATAAAAACAAATATTGCACTGGCATATCCCTGTGAAGTGGTAACACTTTATTTATTGTGACTCCTGGGCGCTAATTAAAAAGGTATATATATATATGATTGATACCAAATGAGCTCTGTGATCATCTATTCTAGACTATTTAATCTAAGCATCCCACTCAATCCCTTACCTCTCTTGATCCAAAGGTTCTTGCGGAACTTGGGGGGCATGCTCACCAGGAAGGTCACACCCTGGGCTGTGACGGCTTCATGGAGGTTGTTGCCACGGCTACCAGTGACCTACAAGTGCAGAGGATGGAGATGAGAGTCAGGAGAACATCCAGCTGTTCGCTGTGATGCCAGGGGTTGTTTACGGTCAATACGTGAGATACACTGAAGTCTACACAGCCCACCTTCACAATCTGCTGGTTTTCTGTGGGCATGACGAAGTCCCCAAAAGCCTCCCTGACCACGTGTTTGCGTTTGGTGGCCTGTGACATCATAAACGGTGAGCTTCAGGTTCCGTCGCCAGCTGGGAAGAGTTAACGTTAGGTTAACAGTAATGCACTCTGCTGGGGTTAAATAACGATTCATTAAGGAAAATCTAACTAACACAGGATGTTTGACAAACCATAACATAAAACAAAATTGACAGGTTGTTTTGAAAACTAGATAAACTCATACAATTTAGTGATAAGTTAACGTTCGCTCAGCAACTTTTATAAATGTTTGGATATCGAGATTGATTTGAATTCGAATGACGACACTTAACGTGGCCTTAACTTGTTATGCCAAATGTCTGCTTTTAACTATAACATGAACATGACTGGTGCTTTAGCTGAGTAAGCTAACGTTAGAGGTAGCTATCTCAGAACCAGCTCAACCACGTTAGCAGTTCACATAATTACCTTGAAAGGAGGAGGAGAGTAACGTGAACTGTGTTTCTGGGCAGCGTGACAGCAGCTAAAAATCACTTTGAAGAAAAGACACGTTGAAATGTTTTGTCAGTAAAGCCAAACTACATGTGTTCCTGTTTTCTGACGACCCCCAAATGTTTCACTTCCGGTGTCGAGTGGTCCACCCTTTTCAAAATAAAAGTCGCTTTCTAATTTTCTTTTATCTGTAGGCTAAATGGACGTTCAGTGAGGGCTTAGAATGACACGTCACATAACTTTGTCACGTCAGCATCAATTGCTATTAATTGTCTGACTATAATAGTTTCCAACAAGAACAGATTTTTGTTCCAACTCTAATCCTAACCTTCTGCTCCACACCGCCTCACACAGGTTTAGTTATTCCGCGGCAGTGTCTTTGCATTGTGGGTAATAGAGTTTTGTATTCTCTCAATTTGAGCAACGTTCAAGATCACTAGCATTTGCTGTTGCCAACCAGTTCTTACGCAATACACAAGGTAACATGGGTAAAAAAGATTTTCTCCATTAATGCCATCTTTATTCAGCTATTTTTTTTTACTTAAGGCCAATTAATTGTTAAATACTTAACCCTCCTGTCGTGTTCGTTTCTCCCCCCTTACTTTAGTGTTCGCGGTCAAATTTGACCGGTCTGTTTTAACTGCTCTTACATTAACACAAAAACCATTAATCATCACCAAATGTTATTTAACACCCTTTTAAGCTGTAAACAATGTCTCAGACTAGTAGTTTATATGAATAACTGCTGTGAATATACAAAGAATAGACACTGAAAATGTATCGCCAAATTAATTGAAACTGTTGTAAGGACATTGTTGACAGGAATATAGGCCTCCCGGACTCCGCATCCCACAGACTTTTTCTAGCCTCATTGTTTGACCGATATACTCCTGCTAGAATCAACAGACCCATGTAGGCTTGGAGGTCTACCTGGTCCAATGCTCTTCACATGTTCCCAAACACACGCCTCCCCTCCAGGTTTGTCATGTCCAGTATAATACCCTCAATGGACTCTGGTAAAAAGAGTTGGAAGCTGGACTTGAAGTCATCCACACGAGATGTTGCATATCGTGTTGGCTCTGGCGTCATCCTTATTATGTTTTCAACTCTCTCTCTGCCTCCTCTGTCCTGGGAGAATGAATACCAGAGCAAGTTGCCACCCTTGGACTGGAATGTCACCTCAGGTGCCTGTTTCTCTGGTGCCACTTCCTCGCCATCTGTTGACTGGTCAGTCTCATAATAGTCCGGATCGAAATCAGGATCATTGTTGTCTTCAATTTCTGAGACATCTTCCTCTATCTCCGGTTCAATCTCTTCATCTGGTTCACAAATTAGGTCCAGAGCCTCTCTGACAGAAAATCACCTCATCAGTGGCCTACTCATTGTGCTCACAGAGTAAAATGAGCGCAAGGCACAGATAAAGGTTTATTTAGGGGGAAAGTGAGAAGATATGAAACATTGTTTAGTCTGGAAGGTGTGGTTCACGTGGGGGGATGGACACATAAGCGTGGTATAGAGATGGGTTCCCATAACAAATACCTGATTTTTTTGTTTGAAGTTTGAAATGTGTACAATTGTGTATATGGGGCTGTGAACAGGTGTTTACACATGTGTGTGTGTGTGTGTGTGTGTGTGTGTGTGTGTGTGTGTGTGTGTGTGTGTTGGGGAGGGGGGGTGGTTGTGGGTGTGTATGGGGCTGTTTTCCATCTGATGAATGGACATAATCCAGTGTTTCCCATTAATTTCCTATGGCGGTCACTTTTGACCGGGAACACAATGGGTGTTACAAAGTTGACTAAACCACAAAAAATTCAATGAAAGTGGTGATCAGCAATTTTATATGTTCAAATGCCTAGTGGGGAAGATATCACGAGGCCTTGAGGCAATCAGATGTAAAACACAATATTTATGATTGATTAAAGTTGTAAATCGGTCAGATTTAACCCGAACACGACAGGAGGGTTAATTAATTCACCCTAATATCAGTGCATGTTTATGCAGAAAAACATTGTCTACCCTTACTTTTAACATCAGTCACTTAGACATTTAAGCAATTTGATGTTCATTGCAGTTTATTGACAGTATAATCTATTCACAATAAAAAATGTTATGCTGTAATTTTCAATTGATTACGTTTCATTCTGTTGTTCCAGTGCATGTAAGAAAAGAACACCACACACAAGGATTAGGATTTCACACTTTTATTTATTCCACCTTCACTTAGTTCTCACTGTCTTACAGCAGTTTTTATAATTATATTGCAGTTATGTACCAACCATATGTGCAGACCAATACAGGTCGGTAAAATCACGTCTAATCAGTCTAACTTCAATCAGTGCACGCTCTGTATCAAACGCGGGCTCTGTTACTTTGAGGAAAGAGGACTTAAAACCCAAACACAGCAATCTATGACCTGCAGGACTAACGGAATGAAATGGGCACATATAATCTACTTTAAAATAACTATAACATTCCTCAGCAAAGCTAGCTTTATCAAAGCTGGTATGTTTTTAGTAACACGAGGTGTGAGGTATGAAGGTGAGGTCAGCTGGCAACTGTAGTACATGTACTATGATGGTGTGGGTATGAGGTGTTAGTTCTTTAGTTGATCACAGCAGATGAGCACATCTTGTTGATCCCACAGGCATTGGACCCCCTGTATAGGTAATAGTAACCCTGTATGAGAGACAGAGAGAAAAAAACACACAAACAAAACAGGAGTTAGTTTTGTACAGTATAGTGCAACCCAACAGAACAACACCAGGCTGTGGTTGTGGTCTTGCAGTGTCAAATTCAAGAGTGCACATTGACTAATTTGTACTTATCGTCTTGCCAAGTCAGGAAATTCTGGTGATATTGTTTAAAGTCAGAATGTGCGCTCTAGTTGCTATATCATCAAGAAGAATGAAGTATTATCTTTTAGAACTGTTTACACCTTTCTCTAATCCACAAAGACTGTTAGTAGGTGGGGTTGTCTTACCTCAACTCCATAATCCTCTCCCCAGCTGTTTTTGATGGCCCAGAATGGGACACCTTTACCTGAAAGCATGGAAACATTAATACAAGAAGCAGGAAGTGGGTGAATGAAGCTAGGATAAAAAAATTAAAAAAAACACTTACGTTCACCGTATCCCACCATCAGCACAGCGTGGTCGATCATCCAGGGGTTGCAGAAGATCTTCATAGGGTGAGACACGCCCTTCCTGTAGAACTACGGACATTTCAAAAGAAAAGATCAATTGAATATGGTTGTATACTGATGATCACATTTTAGTGACAATTTAACGCGTTATGTCATGATGTTATCTCTTTACGTATAACTCAAATGGAAGTGGTGTCATATTATAGCGATGCAGTCATTGCTGTGGGGGACACTTTACCTGCATGGCAAAGGCGTTCAGTGCAACAGAGATCGGTCCGTTCTCAGCCAGCCAAGCTGCAATTTCTGAGGAGAAGAAAACAGCTCTTTGATTCCATCTGCCACCCGGCTGAATTTTCTAGTTACAATTGATCAAAATCAACACCCATTCATCTTCATAATTATTATTTTTCTTTGAAATAGTAATCAACAAATCATTGTTTGTGTCTTTACTGTTTGTTCATCAAATCTAATTACTGTCACTTTCAGTAATATCAATTTTATTTTCTGTCTGTGCTTTGTCCTCACTTCCTTATTATGCCCTCTCTGTTCGCTCAGCCCACTCACCCTTCTCGTCTTTGGACAGCTCCACAGAACTGTTGATGTAGGCGGCCACCTTCATGGTGGTGAAGTCGCACCTCTGCTTGTGCCCGGTGTAGGAGTAGTCAGTCTCTGTCTCCAGACCACCTAAACAACAGCAAAGATGAAGATTAAAGGCTCAGCGTACATCACATGAATGCTTTTGCAGGCGTCTCAGAGTCAACAAACAGCTGCATTGAACGCTAAAATGCTTCTAAATGGTTGCACACGTCACTCGTCCTCCACCCAAGTGACACTTACCCAGCTTCTCAATGGCTTCATAAGCGTTTGTGGGCAGCCCTCCTTTGCACGCCTGGTCCAGCCCATCACAGTCAACCAGCTCTGTGAAGGACAAATCAGTCAACCAATCAAATCATGGCTTTCATCTGTAAATACAAACTGTTTTTTTTTTTCTTGCAGGAGAAAGTTACAGAATTATTGTATCATCTGTGCGTGTGTGCATGTGTGTGTGTGTGTGTTACCTTGTTCAGAGAGGGACAGCAGCGTCCCATTTTTCAGGAACCACTGGCCTTCAATGTTGCCTGTCACAGAAAATGCCCAGCAGGATCCACACATACCCTGCAAGAAACACACCTCAATCAGCACGAAGTAGGCAGGAGGTATAACTCCTTCACTAGTAACATGCTACTGAGGGCGAATGCCCTATAATTAAATCTGTTTGTTGGTACCTGGCTCTTAACAGAACTGACAGCTCCATGATCCCGCCAATCCCAGCTGGCAGGGGCGGGGCCTCGGGCAGCATAGGCCGGTTTCATCGGCCGATGAAGAGTCCATTGACTCAGCAGCGGGTTCATGTAAGTAGAGTGAAACTCTTCCTCTGGAGGAAAACAGAGGGAGAGCAGTTTAAACTTTTGTCTTACTTCAGAGGATTTTTGAAGAACTGCTGATGCAACACGTAAAAATCAGAAGGTGTGTTTCCTAATTGGAAACTGTGTGGAAATACGAGCAGATACACACACACACACACACACACGTGTCCAGACACGTACCAGTTAGGTCACTGAACTTGGTGACTCCATACTCGGCTGACCCTTGATCCAAAGACTGGAGCTTCTCAGCAGTCTTCAGGTTCTCGTGGAAGATGTGCAGACGATGATCTGCCTCTGCAGGATCAAAGGTCAAATAAACATTTTTTGTTTAATGATTTGGCACTTGAAAGTGAAGGACTGCCCTGTTTATCAATCTTTTACATTTCATGTGATGTGAGTAATTTCAGAATGTGTTGGACTATGTGTTTATTAATGTTCATTCACTGTTGATGAGACACTTATAACCCCATGGGAAGGCTGTGAGTACATTAAGGGTTCAAGGTGTTAAAACAGGAAAGCGACACATTATGCACCGTACTATGTTTGGTATGAACAATACATTAGTGTCAGTCACTCACCCTCCTGGCTGCTGTAGACCTTATTGTATGTCACCATGAAGTTTTTGAACTGGCCCAACAGCTCAACGGATTCCTGCCAGATAATGAGCAGACAATCACATGCAGGTTTATCTTTAATCTCAATTCCAAGCTGATGATGGCAGTTTACACAACGAATGGACTAGAGGGTTATCTAAGAGGCAGATAACACGGTGGAATGTGTTGTCAGTGCTGTTATTGGTCTGAATAGGACATCATTGTTACCTCCAGAGGCTGGCTGGTGGACACATCCACGACCGTGTTGGTTTCTTCATGTTGTGATTCAACTGGTAGGAAAGACAAACAGGACAAAATGTTATGTGTCAGTGTACAGACCACATACATTTATGTCTAATGTCTCAAAAAATACTGTGACTCTGTGGATTTTAAATTAGTAATTCAAACAAATAAAAGTACAGTCACTTAGTGTGAACCACAGGTGTGTTCTTCAGCCAGAACTGTGACCAAACCACGATGTGTGAGGCTGCTGACTGACCTTTAGGCTGGCACTTCTGTTTGAGCAGAGTTGAAGCACCCTGCCAGGGAACGTCCCACACTTCGAACACACACACCTCCGTCTGACAACAAAAACATACGCAGGACAGAGGTCTGTTGAAAACTGATTGACAAGCGGAATAACATGTCGGACAATCACTGCAGCCCAATCGAACGACATCAAAGAGACCAAGTCGTGTCTCTTGTCCGTCTCTATACTTTCAAATGTGAAACGTCTCAACTTAGACCGTCTAGGTCTCCATTGTAAAGTCTAAAAATAGAGGAGTGAAGAAACAAACAAAAAAAGAAGTGTATGTGTCAGGTTGTGTTTGCATGCATGAGGTCATGAGGCATAAGCATGCTTGGGGCTACTTCAAGTGAAACTCAGGTCACAAGATCTGTTGAATCTCAGCTGAACCGACATAACTACACTGCTGCGATGATAACTCGGCACACGACTAACACATTACCGATTTTGGAATATTTCATACTCCTTGGAGAAATCTGCTATTCTTAAACCGAGATAATGACCTACTTTGTCTCCCTGCTTCACCCTAATCCCTCTCATGCACACCAACACTCACAGCCTACCTTGAGTTTGTGCAACTCGGGATAGAAGTCACATGTCCTGAGCATGGTGGACTTCTTACATTGAGTGTTACTCAGCTCCACTGTTATTGTGTAGCGGATACCCTTCACCAGCTGCAAAGCAAAGACAAAGACACACAGTGGTCACGTTAGAGTTACAAACAAGAAATATTGCTCTTAATAAAGCATTCATTCAGACATGACTCAAAAGGTGTAGTGGAGTAATAATAACAAACATGTATACCGCAGTTTATACTATTATTTTGAAGATATGTCACCTCTTTCCGGCCTTTGTTTAGCTAACTCTTGCTGACATGACGCAGCTCTGAATAGTCCGCAGTGGTACCTTTGTTTACAATGAATTGAACGCAGCTCTTACTGCAATGTCGCAAATCGTCATACAGCCGACATTCACCATTCACACTCGTGTTGAATAAATAAGCTGCCACAATGCTGTGAATAAATTACATTTAAAATAAAGGGAGAATACACAGTCTGTGTTGATGTTAAATTACCTGTTTGGTAGCCGAGAGGAGCCGGCTGATTTTGCGGAGGTGCATGGCGTTGGAGCCTCGGTTGTAGCGCTCCTCGGCGAACTCCAGAGCCTTTTTTAGGCCGGGATCGGACTCTTGCAGCCGGATAGGAGAGCCTGGAGGCCCGATCAGAGGCCGGTCGAGGTCCTCACCAAGCCCGAGTACTGAGCCCAGCACGGCGGCTAGGGCCAGCCACAGGATTACCGGAGAGCGGAAACCCATCTCTGCCAGTGCCCGGTGTGTTGTCAGAAAGAAAAGACGCAGCTGTCCAGTGTTTGCTCACTTAAAAGAGAGATTTTCTGTTTGTCTTGAAATAAACAACGATATGAAGTTATCAGCAGTGGTTACACAAGAGGTATCAGCGTGTTGTTGCCAAACAAAACTGAGATGAGGTTGTGGGAGGAGACAAAGGTATTAGTGGGCGGGGTGTGTTCAAGAAACATACAGTGTAATTCAACGCACACAAGCATGTTGTTGGCTCTTATAAAGCCGTAATAAATGTTCAACAGCACACATAAATGAGACGAAAAAACACATCACCTGGTTGTCATTATTACATATACATTATATATATAAATAAGTATTTTTCATTTGTCCAGCGAGATTCTAAATTACATATTTTTTGGTATTTGGAGAATGGTGAAATAAATAACAACTTAATCTGCCCCAGTACTAGAGCGACACTTTACAGTGTCTTCTACTTTACTTATCAACTTATCACTTTAGATTAATGTTTGGTAACTTATTTATGGGACGCACACACAATGTCACATTTGTATTTGTTTTATTAATATTTGATAGAACGAATTTCTGTGATCTTGGTAATCATAATAAAACTTCCCTAGAAGTGTATTTCTATCTATGCCCAGTAGGTGGCAGCGCAGTGCTGTGGTTTAGCCTCGCGACCCTGGACTTGCATATGCGCGTGCAGCAGACGTTAAATGAGAGAAGCTTCAAGTTTGTCCGCCTCATCACATCAGGAGTGATGCCAATGGTGTAAAACAGATGGATATTCAATTAAATTAAATTCAATTTATTTTTGTATAGCCCAAAATCACAAATTAGAAATTTGCCTCAGAGGGCTTTACAATATGTACACATTTGACATCCTCTTGTCCCGGAACCCTCACATCGGAACAGGAAAAACTCCCCCAAAAAACCCCTTTAACGGGGTAAAAAAAGGAAGAGACCTCTCAGATCCCTCTCCCATGATGGACAGAAGTGCAATAGATGTCATGTGTAGAACAGCATAACAGAATTACAACACATTCAATGTAATTACAACACATTCACTATCAGATAATCAGCTCGGTAGACAGAGTGTTTAAAGGCGGACAGCTAAAGGAAAAGCCTAAATTCGGCAAATTCAAAAGTAATGTCGCAAAGCCACACAGCTCTCAGAGTACAAGTCCAAAGAGCTCCCAGTGTTACAGATGTGGTGGTATGCCCCACCCTGAACACGAGTGCCCTGCTAAGGATGCAGAGTGCCGTTCCTGTGGGAATAAAAGGTCACTACCAGCGTGTGTGCCTTGCTGGTAAAGCGGTGCTTGGTCTTGAGGAAGAGGAGGAGAGTTTCTTTCTCGGCTCTGTGACATCTGATGCTGATCCATGGACTGTTGATATAGACGTTATGGACAAAACTTTCACTTTCAAACTTGACACCGGAGCGGATGTCACTGTTGTGTCACAGTCTGTTTTTAAGAGCATTTTTTCCAATGCACAGCAGCCTGTGCTCCAGAAGGCAGAGAAGCCTTTACTTGGTCCAGGACGGATTCCTCTAGATGTGTTGGGGTTCACTAGACTGCTGCTGAGGATAGGAGCCAAGCAAACCTGGCAAAGGTCTATGTGGTCAAAAACTTGAGCATGCCATTGCTCAGGTTGCCAGCCATAGTGGCCCTTACTCATTCGTGTTGACAGCATAGACTCGGCGACCCTAAAGTCAAGCTACCACAAGCAGTGGCCTAGGGAGGTACAACGTTATGAGATAGAAAGTCGAAATTATGAGACAGAAAGTCAAAGTTATGAGATTATGAGACAGAAAGTTATGAGATTCAAAGTTATGAGATTCAAAGTTATGAGATAAAAAGTTAAAGATAGATAGAAAGTCTCGAACATGAAGGATAACAGAATCTATAACTGTAGGATGGTCTTAAAATGCTAAACATTATTAGCCTTGCAGTTGTCTCCTGAACGCAGTCACTTGAAAAGAAGGATTTCACATCCTGCTTCGCACTTCACGTCCCTCTAGCTTTCTCTGGAGTACAGTGCCTTCTAGTGGCTTTAGTGGCAACATCATTGTTCCCACTAGGTCAGTCACTGATAAAACTATTGCTGGAATAAACAAGTGTGCTCACTTTAAAACATATTGGCTGTGCATGAAAACAAAATACATAACACACATGTGACAACACATTGGTGGGCATCACACTCACAACATGTTATCTTTGTGCTAATCATCATATGGGCCTTGACAGGTTGCACGCTCCAGTCTGACACATTAAAGTGCTCGCTATTCCCACTCCAGCGACAGCAATGCCAACAAACACTCCTGCTTTCAGTAGACCTTTGGCACAGCGAAACCACCAACGTGTGGTCTGCGTCTCAGCAGCTGGAGCCGGCAAGAGGCTCCCTTCAGACTTGACATCATTGTCATGCTGAGCCCCCTTTAGATCCTGCTCAAGGTCATCAATTTGGACCAACATGACATCATTGTCATGCTGAGCCCCCTTTAGACGCTGCTCAAGGTCATTCATTTGGACCGACTTGACATTATTGTCATGCTTAGCCCCCTGAGCCCCCTTTAGACGCTGCTGAAGGTCATTAATTTGGGCCGATTTGAGATTATTGTCATGTTTAGCCACCTTTAGAAGCTGTCCAAGGTCATTAATTTGGACCGACTTGACATTATTGTCATGCTTAGCCCACTTTAGATCCTGCTCAAGGTCATACATTTGGACCGACTTGACATCAATGTCATACTTAGCTTCCTTTAGCTGCTGCTCAAGGTCATTAATTCGGACCAACTTGACATAATTGTCCTGCTGATTCACCAACATTTAGCTGAGACAACATTTTGTCTTTCACATTTTGTCTTTATTGTGACATACACAGATGGATGTTGATGAGTTTATTAAGTAATGCTAATTAGACTATTAGTTAAAGATTAGTAAGGCTGCTTTGCTTTTCTGTTGTGATGCCAATGTTTTGCAGGTCCTTGGAAGAACCTCAAGACAAGTGAAACAGTTCTGAAGGGGGTTAAAAGAGACACCGATCTGGCCTTTGCTGAGAGGAAAGACACAATTCCCCTCCTCTTTACAAGAGCATCTGATGTACAGTGCACACCACAGGTAAGTGACCCCACGATGCTAAGTCAAAAACACTCACACAAATGACTTTCTCAGAAATGACATGTGTTTTCTACCCTCTGGCAGCCATTGGTTTCAGTTCATTACAATAAACATTAACCTGGTGAGATCTGAAACGAGTTGCATCGAAATGATCACAGTCAGCATTTGATCTCTTTTTTTAAGTTAAACCTACATCACATCACTGCATGAACAAGTACTGCTCAAACATGGTTGTCCTGAAGTCCTTGCAAATTGAGTTTCATAGAAATTAACTGGCACTAATTGCTGCCTAAACGGAAGGAAACCAATTTAAAAAACGTGTTACCATGCAAAAACCTCCAGTGTGGTTCTTTAAAATAACAACTATGCCCTGATCGAATTACAATTTGGATTATTAGAATTGAAAATGTCTCATTTTCTATTCTTCTGTTTATTGTGCTTTCTATTCTCTTGTTTGTTTGGAAACACAAGTGTTAACTGATGGTATAAAATTAATCGGTCAGATGGTCTTGGAGAAGACAAAGTGGCCAACAGAGGATGAGGATGAAGACAGTGATGTCTCTTTGGAGGATACATGTCGGATCACAGGATTCCTTCGCACATTTATTGAGAACGGTAAATTAATAGAAACTTTCAATAGTTCCTCACAGGTTATTTATCCAAGTCTGTTGTGCTTCCTCTACTTTCCTTTATAACTATGAACCTAGTTGTTAATTTAATACCATTCTAATTCATTGTATGTACTGTGCATTTTTTATTCTATTTTATTTTATTTTTTGTTATTCTATTTCTTCAAATTCAATATCTGCTGTGTTATTTTGTTGTACTGTATATATTGTGCATTTCCATATGTAATATTTTGCTCTGTAAATTGCTGCTGCTACAAACAAATTTCCCCCTGGGGATGAATAAAGTTTATATCTATCTATCTATCTAAATATTGACTCTTCTTTTTTGGAAGCGTCTCCAAGCATCCTTGGGAAACTCCTGCAGTTGTGGATAGGATGGGATGTGCTTCCCAGACACCAGCTGGATATTAACGTAGTGGAGCTGAAACTTCCAGGACATTACAAAGACTACCGTAACTTTGAAAGAAACATTCTTGCTGCTATTTGTAGCACTGACACTGGGTTTGGATTGGTCTAGGTCTAGGGAGACTGTACATCAATATATCACTCTGTACACTTTAGTAATCGTGTAGCATTTGTTGTCTTGCTTGGCCAGCCAAAATATTGAATTACAGTATAAAAGCAGTTGAATGAGTGATGTAAACTAGTACCTAGTTCTGTTAGTGTGTGACACTCACAGACACAATGTGGTGATGCATATTTGTCTTCAACCATTGTCTCGTAGGTTTAATCCCATTCTTCCCAGTGCAGAGCAGAGAGATGCATTTCGTTGTCGGGATTGAGAAGGCCTCCTCTCTCAAGGTTGGTAAAGATGGTGTAGAAGAGATCAAGTACGCCGCCATAAACGTCTCTCCAGAGCCTTTCTATTCTGATGGGGAAAAAAATATTTAGTCTGCCTACAATGACAGTTTATTACAAATATTTGTGTTCATCGCTTAAAAGGATAAGTTGACCGCCTGACACTTTAAATTAACTTTAGCAAAGCTCTTCTTCAGACTTCACAATAGAAATAGGAGGTTAGTCTAGGGTTAGCACTGTTGGAATATCAGCTGAACTAATCACAGTTTAAACCTCTTCAATCCATATTTACAGTTTAATAATCAAACTGATTCAACATCAAGTTCAACAGGATCCTTCTGTAATGTGACACTGTGGGACATCCACTAAATGGAAGTCTGAATCATTTCATTCTTTTTTTGGGGACAAAACTATTTCAAATGTAAAACATTCGGTGTCCTAATTATACTTCTGTAAATATAGCAGGGCATGTTTAGATTATATAATGTGGCACTGGTGCTTTATTACTCAAACTATAACAACTGCTTTGCCTGTTTACATTAATTTGTATATTGAATATGGGTTTTGTTTTCTGTGTTTCTTTTCTATTTAAAGGTTTTTTACCTAAACTAAACTACATGTCGCTACACTAAGTGGCTTAGTGAACAAACTATTATGCTGAACCTACCAAAATAAAAGGAGGAAAAAGAAAAGTTGTTTGGTCATTGAGTGAAATCCAGTTAGAAATCTTTCGGGTAGACTCATCGGTCCTTCTCAAGTGGGGAAAGTGCACATGTTAACACCATAACTTGACACTGAGACAGAGACTGACTTTGCTAAAATAGTAAATAACTGAAGGAAACTACCTGACTGAGATGTCACATAGTGATACACATCTTAGTGTTGATGTTGAAGTTTGGGTGGGACGTTCTTCCTCTTGATGCAAGGCAAGGGAAGGGAAGGCAAGGCAAGGTTTATTTGTATAGCACATTTCAACAACAAGGCAATTCAAAGTGCTTCACAGAAAAACATTAAAAGCATCAAAACATAAAGCAAAGCCTTACTGCCCGAAGCAGTAGGCTTACTTTTGAAAGTCTGTCTTGTGAAAAATATTTGAGAAGGAAAGAAACGAATCAGCGTGACTAAATGCAAATGAAGTCTCAACCACAAGTTCCCCATTTAAATTACGACTATTTTCGTCTCTTTTTGTGTGTCTACTTTTCTCCCATTCTTGTCCTTCCTGCTGCATCTTTTGGAGATTTGCTAGAATTTTATGACTCATCCTACCCTCACTCTTGCTTCTACAGAAATATGAATGTGTGACGTGGCAGTCGCTAACAGGACGTCGTGCTCAACTATCAGATGTTCGTTTGGATATCACCAGTCTACAACTTTCCTCTTGATCCATGCTGCTCGCTGTCACGCCAACTTATATTGAGAGAGGAAAAAATGAAAACATTCTAGAGTCAAACTTTCTGTAACTCAATGGTAATAAAATTGAAGTAATTTTATTTGGACCACAACATTTGACCAACATTATATCTTCTCATCTCGGCCCTTTGACCTCTTCTGTTTAACCATTCAAATCAGGATTTAAGTGTGACAATTAAATCAATGAGGTAGGTAAATTAGGCTTAATGTTCAATAAGAATAAACCAAACATCTTTATTTTTTCAATTGTCATTATTTATTGCCTCATAATCAACACATGCTCACTCTTCCATGTAGGTATGTTTAGTTCTTAAATGACACAAAGATAACAAGTAAATACAAGATGTATACAACTAATGCAAATTAACCATAAACATCAAATATCAGATGAAATAATCAGCATTAAATACATCTGTATCAATAACCTAGATAATTGACAAAAGTACAACAAAATCTATGGTTTAAATACACGTATACTGACATCTAGTGGTAGAACGGGTGAACACTGCGTGTCCTTACCGGCTACACTCTGTGTTCACTAAATTAACACAATACAGTGGAGAAAGAAATATCAGTGCCAACAGCAACATTTATGTGAACACAACAATGACTTTGATTAAACTATATCACGAACTGTATTGCATCAAACAATGCACCGATTCATCGAACAGTTGATTCTTGCTGTGTACATGGATACATGAAATTAAATCGCTACTACTGCTGCTAACACACTCCCATCGGCCCAGGATTATTTATTTATATTCATTAATGTATTTTCTTCTAATGTTACCCTGGTATGTGCTTGCATCACAGACTATATAACGTTAACTTAAGCATTTCTTGCATACAGTCATTATATTGCCTTCACTTTTATTTTTGAAATATTCTTATTTCCGGGTTACCTGTTGTGCTCTGCGTCTCGTTTTAAAGGAAAAAACTAAAAAGGAACAAAATTCGGCTCGTTTTTGACTTTGGTTCTGTGGTTTTTCTGTTTTTGAATTCAGAAACCAAAAACTGAAATACGACCGCCCATTTCCGTTTCCCGTTTTTGGTTTGAAACGAAAAACGAGAATACCATGGTATTTCCGTATTTTGGTTTTTCCGAATTAACGGTAAAACAGATGACTAAAACGTACACGGACCTTTAATAACCACAAATAAAGTCACTGCACACAAATGTCTCCTTTATAGAAGATAAGAATATAATATTGTGGCTTTTTAGGGTGACATCACTTCACACCTGAATTAATTAAACGTAAAGCTTCAAGTCAATTCAGTTCAGTTCATTTTTCTAAAATGAAGTACTTAACTTAAAGATGCACATTTTTTGAAAAGCTTTCTGTTATGTATTTTATTTTTTTTATCCAGCCCTTATTTTACTTGAAATGACAGATAATTTATATATTATTAGAGTATGTATGTGTATGTATGTATGTATGTATTATAATTCATCCAGTTCAATTTGAAAACTGACAATAAATATTGTTGAGATATTATTCAATTGAACTTTCTTTATTTGATTTGACAGTCAGTCAGTTGTTGACTCCATACAGACGTTAATACAACTGTTGGCGACTTCAATATATATGGGACTAAATCTTAGCACAAGTTAGTCATTGTGATGTTCCGGACCTTTGCGTGAGGAAATTCTCTCTATATGGATCTCTGTGAATTTTAATTGAATACCCTTGCATTAAAGAGAACGTAGCTACAGGCTCCGCTCATGCGCAGCTCAGAAAAAAAACTAGCTCTGGCCTGAGCATGACGCTAACGTTGGTCCTCTCTCTATTAATCCACAACTACTGCAAAACTTGTTTTTCGGTCCTTAACCTGGTTTATGATTGAATGTAAATGCAGTAGTAAATGTTCTGTAATGTTTTAACATGATTTGGAGATGTGGGAAATGTAGTTGGCTGTATTTTGTAGCTAATTGCTCTGACCAACATGGTAACGCTACCTAGCTAACGTTACTTCTGTCCGTGAACTTCAGTGTTACACCGTAGTTTTGTAAGTGATAAGTGTAAGTAACTAACATACGCCTTCTGTACCATAATACAATGTGTTTTAAGTTTGAGTATTAGCCAGCCAGCAGTAAGTAAAGGGTTTGGAAAGATACTATATTCAAGCTAATTTAACATAAGTGTGTGAGAGCGGACAACACGTAAGAATGTAAAGATGCTACTGTTGAATAAATGTTAGCAGGACTGTATAGTAAATATGTGAGACACTGTAAGTATTACAAGTAAAATACATTTTTATGTTGTTATGTTACGATATTTGAGTAAATATACCACTAAATTATTTCACCGTTTGTTGAACATCTCACTGAACTGCACTAGATGTGTCCTATAGTGTAGCATAAAACATTTAACAAAATATGAAATAATATAAAAATCGTGTGATGCACACAAAATGTATGCTTACATTTTGTTTATTTAACTAATATTTGATACAACAAATTTCTGTGATTTTGGTAATCATAAATATAACTTCCTCAGAAGTGTATTTCTACATATGCCCAGTAGGTGGCAGTGCAGCGCTGTGTGTGAATTGTATGTGCGCGTGCAGCGTCTTCTCATTGCTCGAGAAGACGTTAAATGAGCTGAGGTCTGTCAAATAGTATGAGTATAAACAGCATTGGTTCAGAAAAATAATGGATACATTCTACACGATATACCTTTCATTGTCAGTCACATAGTAAATCATCAAAACCGGTGACTCATTAAAGATTGGGGTATATATATATATATATGGGATGGGAATGAGATCAAGTAAAGATCAAGTTACCAAACGTCAATCTAGTGTTAAGGTGATAAGTAAAGTAGAAGACACTGTAAAGTGTTGCTCAAGTATTGGGGCAGATTAAATTGTAATTAATTTCCCCATTCTCCAAATACCAAATACTTTTGTAATTTAGAATATCGCTTGACGAATTTAAAATACTTAATATTATTCTTGATTAGCATATACATCTAAAAATATGGTTACATCTAATTTTCCTCTAAACTTAATGCCTGTAATTACAGCCATTGACCAGTAATACTCAAATACAGCCACTAGAGGGAGACAAAGTACTGTCACTTTTCGACGCTTTTCCTGAAAGTGGAATTAAATATTGGGAGGAAATGACCCAACGGAGCAACACATTTAAACTAGGCTGGCTTTGAGAGTCTGCTGTTGTTTTTTTCACAGCTATAGATTATATGATAGCATAAGAATAACGTAAATGTTATGAGTATTAATTTGCATTTCTGTACCAAATTCAGCTAAACTTTTAAGTCAGGTCACATTTATGGACATAGTACTTTTATTCTGGAGGATTCTGTCCGGAAGTGTGGTTGTTGTTGCTGCTGGCTCACAGGGGCTAGCGCTGCTAGCACCGCGGGCACAAGCACCTTTGGACAATTGCTAAGCTAACATTTTAAACTTGCTGAAACCATTTGGCGTTACGTTAAAGTCAGGTTCACGTGGGAACAATCATCGTTAGTTGTCAATTTATACCCATGCGAAAAAGTTGTTGTCGTGAACGGTATGACTAATTTATATTTAGGGATCAGGTTGTATTCTTAGCAGTAGCCTCTGAGCAAAGGTCTGACTGGCAGACATGGAGAATCGGGGGATTGAAGACATGTTTGACTTTCGTCGGTAAGTCGGCTAACGGCAGCTAGCTAATGCTGTCGTCAACTTTGAGCTAACGCTATTTAGCAACATTTGTTATCTTGTTTGTTCATGATATGTTACAGTAAAATGCTATCGATGACGTGTACCGTGTGCTAGCTATCACTGTAGGCTTCCAAACGAAGGGATACCAAACCTTTTATAAACATGCAGCTAACGTTAGCTGGCTAACCTAGCTGTTCGGCGGTGACGTTACAATTGATAGCTATTGTTTGTTATGCTACATTGCAACGCTAATTTCAGTGTACACCTCTCACTGCCATCAGTTGTAGCATTACATGCGCTAACTAGCTACGTTAGCTCGATTATCCCTACGTGGTCGTTAATCTTAACATCTGAACATTAACGTAACGTTGCTCTCTTCGGATAACTGACAGTGAAGTTTCCTAAAAGACACAACTTCTTATAAGCGGACACATTGCCACAGCTAGTATTGTACTATTAACGTGTTCACTCCACATACACAAAAGTGGAGTGAACACATTTGCCATTAACGTCCCCTCGGATATGAAAGTTAAAAGTCGCATCGGCCTAACGTTAAAATAAACGGGCCATATTTTACATCAAGCAGGTGGGACAGAAGGCCTGAAAATGCAGCAGCGCCGATTTTGGTGTCGGTTTTCAGGCTAGAGTAGGACCATGTTAATGTCGGGCATGATCTCAGATGTTCTCCGGCACTCAACCGACACGACAATCACGTAACGTTTGACACGTGTAATAAGCTCGTGGAGAATGAAACTCTCGGACGTTGGTTTAATGCGTAACAAAAACTCACATGAATGCAACAGTGAAGCAGACAGGCGATGCTCATTATTCAGCAGTGAATATTTAACAAACTATTAAAGAGAGAAATGCTCACAATTAAAATTACCCGTTAAACTGCACTTGTTAGAGTAGTAATGGTAGTTTACCCCAGACTTGTGTCAGTGGAAACAGATGTTTAACTGCCCTGCAGTTTCTCAACAGCACTATATTCAACACATAGGGGCAAAACTAGTTTCTGTTATTGTGTGATACTATAGTGATATTTTGAAGTTAACCTTGGTGTGGGTGTTTATAATGGTTTAGTGCTAGTACATAAAGCACTGAAATGAATCCACACACAAATCCACACTTTTTTATGTGTTTGCTTCCTATTAAAGTTTGTTCATTCTTTACGTTCCTGTCAGTGAGATTCAGATGGTCTGTCAAGATCTCACCAGCAGTTACATTTCACCCTTTTCAGATATCATCCATTGCGTTTAAACACGTTTTTATGAAACAGATGTTGTTTTCTATGTGCAGGGTTCCCAAAGATGCAGTCCTTCTCTTGCTGTTGCTGATTTACTCTCCAGTTGGCATCTGTTTGATGTTGATACGGATCTTTCTCGGTGTTCACGTGTTCTTGGTCAGCTGTGCGCTTCCAGAGAGTTTTGTTAGAAGGCAAGTATTTTAAAGTATAACATTTTCTCAGAACACATTTTACTCTCTACTTGTAGTTGTGGCTAGTAGTAGCTGTTGTAGTAAACAAGTGTGTCATTGATAATATGCATATTCTAAGTAATATAAAATTGTGTAATAATAATAATTGAGGTACAAGTCGTAGAAATGTAAAGGAAAAACAGGGACAGTTAATGCTGTGAACATGTGCTATATATTGCATACTGTGCAGTTCATTAAGAATAATTGCACCATGGCTGCCTCTCACAGCTATGAGTAATGACTGCGTTAAACACAGCCACCCCATGAAATACCATTAGGGCTAGTGGCTGCTCAATACATTTGATATGGTATGTGTCTGTTACACAATAACCTCTTCTGAATGAGTTATTTCCATGTTTAATTCAAGTCGATGACTGTAGAATTGAAGAATCGTTACATATAAGTAAACAACACGTGTAAATGATCTGGATGTTGCCGTAGGAGCAGTGATGAACCTTGCATGTTTTTTTTTTTTTTGTGAATGTAAGATTACATCCACCTTCGTTCTGCCGTTCTCTTAGATTTATTGTCCGGGTTATGTGCTCAGTCCTGGGGATGCATGTGAGACAGAACAACCCTCGCTCCAGAGACAGGAACACCAAGCTGTACATATGCAACCACGTGACGGAGTTCGACCACAACATCATCAACCTTCTGACCCCCTGCCATACTGTGAGTGTTTGACTTTTAAATGTGCAAAGCACATTTACGCAGGATGCTTAAAACATTTTAGCCAACTTGTTCGTAAGAATGCGACATGTCTCCTGTACCACTTTGTTTCAACGCGTATGCTGAAAGCTGCAGTGTTTACATCAAAGCTGTACATCACACTGGTGGTAGTCTTAGATTAGCCCTATGAAGTGACTGTGCTAATGTCTGTAGTTTCTTTGTGCTTCTATTTGTGTTAATAACTGGTGCAGCTACAAACTTTTTATTGTTTTTTTGTTAAATCCACCATTTGTTTGCAGCATATATTGGATATTATAATGTATACAAACATGGGACTGCGGCATCCTTCAATTCTGACAGTTGTGAACGGTACAAACTTCTTTAGATCATCTACATGTAAGTGTTACATTTGAAGCACTGTGAAAGTCCATGATGTTGTGTATGTGAACTTCAATGGCTGCAGATGAAACCGAGGAGACAGTGTTCCCACTGGTCCGTGAAGCATATTAAAGTCTTACACGCATAGTGACCCGGCCATCTTTCTATCTCATCGTTGACATTTTTTTGTTCAACCAGTGCAAAGAATGGTATTTCCCTGTTAAACACAGTAATTGCAGTATAAGGTGAGCTTGCTCTTTCTGCTCCTTAGCCCCAGTTGGAGGGCTCCACAGGCTTTGTGTGTTGGGCCAGAGGCTTCATGGAAATCCATTCAGCGTCTGGCCAAGAAGCAATCGGAGAGTCTCTTCAGAGGTACTGCTCTGCTGAAGGCACCCCTCCTTTGCTTCTGTTCCCTGAAGAGGACACCACAAACGGCCGTGCCGGCCTGCTGAAGTTCAGGTTCGAGCTAACATTTCTGTTGTAGGATCCATCTACTTAGTGTTTGATTCATGTCACCAAGGAAGACACCGTTAAATATTCGTGAGTGGGAATTGGTTGATGCAATGCTAATAGAGAAAATGTAACATTTTCCCAACAAACTCTACTTAAGCTCTCTTGTTTATGGTTGTTTGTAGTTGTCCTACAGCACAACAGTGAAGCAGTAACTGGGATCTATTAATATTTGCAAGTGGAGACAGTGTTTTGGCCTCATATTCATGACTTTGGATGTAGAAAGTGATTTCAATTATCATTCCTCTTCCGTGGCACTTAGAGATAGATGAATTACTTTGGCGGTTGTTTCCTTTCACACATTTCCATCGAGAGTTCAATGGGCAGATCAGTGTAAAGAAGTAAAAACAGCTGCAGAATCGGTTCATTTCTGTCTTTCATTTGAGCAGCTCAGAATCAAGCGTACTATATCTTCAGAGATGCACTGAAATCCAATACAACTGGGAGGAGCATTTCATAATAGTATTAAAAACCATATTGTAATGCTTCAGTTTACTTAACGTTTTCTCTACAAACTTAAATGACTAAATCTGATTAAAATCCTTTGTGCCAAGTACAAGACACACCAACAGTTAACTGTCTGTTTCCCCTCATGATTATCAATGTGACTTTATTCATATTTTCAAATGAAAGAATTTCTGCTCATGTTCACAGCATTCAGCCTCGCCAACCAACATACTGAATACATGTTTTTCCTCTCAGTTCCTGGCCTTTCTCACTGACTGATTCCATTCAACCTGTGGCCTTACGGGTGACCAGACCATTGATTGCTTTGGTAATGTCCTATGAACTTGCATTTTCAACATAGAGTTTAGGGATAAGATACCAGAATGAGAGGGATGCCTTTAACAACAATGTTTTTTTGTGTAGTTACAGCATTCTGTGTTTGAATCTTGAATGCTGTCTAGAATATCTGAGTGTAAGAGATGTCGTAATGTGGTTGGTAATGACGTATAAACCATGTTAACATGCCTGAAACATTACAGAGGAAGGAAGGAAATCAATGGGGTAAAATAATGCATTTATATGCACCAATCCCAGCTGTGGAAAATCATTGCAAAATGAGTGCACTTTTCTGGAAGTAACAGCGAGCTGATTAGTGTAGGCTGCTTAAATCTAATCCAGCCATCTCGGTACCGAGAACATTTTAGCGTGTGTTGCTGTGTGCAGCCGTGGCAACAGTTGGGCTTTAACAATCAGTGAAGATCATTTGCAATAGTTGCAGGATTGTTTGGGTCACCGGGACTTTTACCATGTTCTCCCGGTGACTGTGCGTGCATCATTTAACTGTAGGGCATGTCGAACTATGCTGTAATATACCGGTGTGATTGATCGGGCTGTATTTTGTCTGTCCACAGAGCACACCGGAGTCAAGCTGGCTGATGGAGCTCTTATGGACATTTTTTGTTCCATGTACAGTGTATCATGTAAGGTACTAAATAATTTGTATCAATTTTTCTATCGGCAATTGCTTTTTCAAAGTGGAATCCTGATATTGTGCAGCTGAATGATCATTGATAATCCAATAGTTTAGTTTATGTCCCATGTAACTGATGTCGTTTTGTAAAACTAAATTACTTTTGTGAGTAATTGTTTAGTGCTCAGAGTTCCGAATTCAGTTTTTAAATAGATTTTTAACATTTCTGTCGACATACTTGTTTTTTACTTCTCATGTAGCTTTCTAAGCCTCCGCGACAGCTCTTCAAATTTGACACAAACGTTCACTTGGACTCAAAGATAAACTGATTTAAAATGTGGTGGTCAAAGGTCACTGTGACCTCACAAAACATTTTGGACAGACATGGATGCAAAGGCAGTTACTCTAGTTTGTCTTTTCATTTCCATCCCAGTTGGCTCCCACCAGTATCCAGACAAGATGGCGAGTCCATGCAGGAGTTCGCCAACAAAGTCCAGGAGGTAAAAGCACTGTTTACCAGTCGAGTGGATTCTTAAAGGGTTCGATTCGTAACAGCAAGAACAAATAAGTTATACAATTTTAGGAAATGTATCCAATTTCCTGACCCCAGCAAATAGTTCCCTAATAGCCCTGTAGGTTTTGTCTCACCAAATATCTCTTTCTTACCTTTGTGCTGCAGTTGTATGCTAAACGTGTGTCTTTTAATTTCAGCTATTGGCAGGTGAACTTGGCTTGGTCTCCACCAAGATCACTAAAGCTGATAAGGCCGAGCACATCAAACGTAAAAGGCACATCGTACCACAAACATCCACAAGTAAGTCAATTTCGTAAACGCACAAAACACCGGATTCTCTACACGTACGGATCCGGCTGGTTGTTTTGGAGTTTTTTGGGGTCTGGTGACAGCTGTTCTTTCCCTTTGCCCCAGGTGTCAGACCTGGCTCTATTGGCCTCGGTTTCATGGTCCAGAGTTTGGGCACCGATGACCACAGGATTGCTAAGATGGCCCAACAGGTGAAGGACGTGCTGCCTCATGTCCCGCTGAATGTCATCGCCAAGGACTTAGGTAGAGCCACTATTTCAGTGCAAGTCATTATCGTTAACAGATCCTTCAAAAACTTGAAGATGGTTTGAATTGCCAGGTCTTTATGGTAGTCTCTTGATTGTGTACAGCAAAAACCAATTGTGTTGACACCACCATAACAAATCTGCTGGAGAACAAGGAGGAAAGTCCAATGGAAGCAACCGGAACGTCGACCTTTGGGTCTTCTATGAACAGCTCCTATCCCTCTGGTCCGGCTCCCACCATAATGGTTCGACAACTCCACATGCTGCTAACTGAGCAATTTATCATTTAGGATCCGTTTTATTCATATGTAAACGTATGAAGTTCATATTCACTACAATAGTACTCGGGGAAGTTACATAGAAACAACTTAATACTGGATATTTTATTTCAGCTACTTCATCTTGTGCAAGATTGATTGATTGATTTGTCCTCAAATGAAATCCATCGAGCTCGTTGTTTCTTCTTCAGTGAAATAATAATTCCATTTTCATCCGCAGCCTGCTGCCAAATCTTTTGGGAGATCACCAGTTGACAGACATTTGTCTCTCCAAGAGAGAAAAGAAGCACTCTATAATTTTGCAAGAAGGTGAGGTTTTTCTGCCATTAGCAATGTTACGTCATTCCGTCATACAACAGATTATTGTATTATTTGCTAGAAGAGCATCATTTTTGTTACTATTGCAGCAGATATGGCAAACTAGCCAGCCTTACATGGTGGAATGAAATCTTACAATAATCCCTCAACTATTGTTTCAATCAAATATTTCTGGATTCACTGAAAGTACTTCATGTCCGCTCGGGTCACGTTAATAAGACACCTCAGAGAAAAGCCAAAGCTGTTTCATTATGCACAACATCTTGCAGTTGTGCTGAACAGTTTTGCAATATTAATTTGCTTTGAATTAATTTCTAGGGTTATGTCTGTCGCTCAATTCTGATTCTGAGCAGCGCTAAGGCTGCTGCAGACAGAAATCTTATGTAAAAATACTCGTGTCTTCACTAAATGAGACCCAACAGACTCTCTGAAACAGCAATGAAGCAGAAAATCATTGAAGGGGGTCAATCGTAGTGACAAACCCTCAGAGAGTCCTCATTTAGCTCTGCAGCTCTCTTCAGCTCCACAGAGCGTTTTAGCATCTTACAGCTCGTTGTTTTGGTTTTAATGGCCCTCAACTTAACTGTTTAGGTTCTCTCTCCACCCTGAGAGAACAGTTTGGAAAAGTTAAGATCATTGAAATATATATTCCCAGTGGGCCTCAGTGTTGGTGCGTCATTGATACTCACAGTATTCATGTTCAAATATTGGACAAACTGTAACTCTAGGACAAACATAATTTGGATGTAGTTTATATTTCAGCTAAAAAAAAAAACGTCCTTTAAGATTTGGCTAAATTGTACCGTAGAGTTTGGTCCAGAAAGACCCCGACGGGAGGACCCGACAGGACCACATTGATTAAAGCAGTTAGAGAAGTGATACATGCACTGCCTGTAATAAAGTGTGTGTGTGTGTGTGTGTGTGTGTGTGTGTGTGTGTGTGTGTGTGTGTGTGTGTGTGTGTGTGTGTGT